AATTCCCCATTTTCCACCCAAAATTCCCATTTTCCACCCAAAATTCCCCATTTTCCACCCAAAATTCCCCATTTTCCACCCAAAATTCCCGGTTTTCCACCCAAAATTCCCCATTTTCCCCCAAAATTCCCCATTTTCCACCCAAAATTCCCCATTTTCCACCCAAAATTCCCATTTTCCACCCAAAATTCCCATTTTCCACCCAAAATTCCCCATTTCCCACCCAAAATTCCCCAATTTCGACCCAAAATTCCCATTTTCCACCCAAAATTCCCCATTTTTGACCCAAAATTCCCCATTTCCCACCCAAAATTCCCCATTTTCCACCCAGAATTCCCCATTTTCCACCCAAAATTCCCCATATTCCACCCAAAATCCTGTAATTTTTCCACCCCAAAATCCTGATTTTCCCCCCTAAATTCCCATTTTCTCCCTCCCAAATTCCCATTTTCCCAACCCAAATTCCCATTTTTTTCCCATTTCCCCCCAATTTTCCCATTTTTTTCCCATTTTTTCCCCCTAAATTCCCATTTTTCCCCATTTTTGCCCATTTTCCCCCATTTTTTCCCATTTTTCCCTCCCAAATTCCCATTTTCTCCCATTTCTCCCATTTTCCCATCCCAAATCCCCATTTTTCCCCAAATTCCCATTTTTTCCCATTTTTTCCAAATTCCCATTTTCTCCCATTTTCCCCAATTTTCCCATCCCAAATTCCCATTTTTCCCTCCAAAATTCCCATTTTTTTCCCATTTTTTCCAAATTTTTCCCATTTTTTCCCATTTTCCCCAATTTTCCCTCCCAAATTCCCATTTTCCCCCCAAAATTCCCATTTTTCCCCATTTTTTCCCATTTTTCCCCATTTTTCTCCCATTTTTTCCCATTTTTCCCCATTTTTCTCCCATTTTTTCCCATTTTTCCCCATTTTTTCCCCGTTTTTCCCCATTTTTCCCTGTTTTTTTCCCATTTTTTCCCCATTTTCTCCCATTTTTTCCCATTTTTTCCCCATTTTCCCCCATTTTTTCCAATTTTTTTCCTGTTTTTCCCCATTTTTCCCCGTTTTCCCTGTTTTTCCCATTTTTCTCCCATTTTTTCCCCATTTTTCCCCCATTTTTCCCCATTTTCCCCCGTTTTTTCCCCATTTTTCCCCCATTTTTCCCGTTTTTCCCCGTTTTTTTCCCATTTTTTCCCATTTCTCCCCGTTTTTCCCCATTTTTCCCCGTTTTTCCCCATTTTTTCCCCATTTCTCCCCATTTTCTCACATTTTTTCCCATTTTCCCCCCGTTTTTCCCATTTTTCCCCGTTTTTCCCCGTTTTTCCCCCGTTTTTTCCCATTTTTTTCCTGTTTTTTCCCCATTTTCCCCATTTTTTCCCCGTTTTTCCCCCATTTTTCCCCATTTTTCCCCATTTTCTCCCATTTTTTCCCCATTTTCTCCCATTTTTTCCCATTTTCCCCCCATTTTTCCCCGTTTTTTCCCCATTATTCCCATTTCTCCCCATTTTTCCCCATTTTTCCCCATTTTTTTCCCATTTTTCCCCGTTTTCCCCCCATTTCCCCCCATTTTCCCCATTTTTCCCCATTTTTTCCCAATTTTCCCCATTTTTTCCCCATTTTTTCCCATTTTTTCCCCATTTTCTCCCATTTTCTCCCATTTTTCCCCATTTTTCCCCCATTTTCCCTCCCAAATTCCCATTTTTTCCCGTTTTCCCCTGTTTTTCCCCATTTTTTCCCATTTTTCCCCCATTTTCCCTCCCGAATTTCCGATTTTCCCATTTTTCCCCGTTCTTTTCCCATTTTTTCCCATTTTTTCCTATTTTTTCCCCGTTTTTTCCCCATTTTTCCCATTTTTCCCCATTTTTTCCCCATTTTTCCCCATTATTCCCATTTTTCCCAATTTTCCCTCCCAAATTCCCATTTTTTCCCATTTTTTCCCATTTTTCCCCATTTTCTCCCATTTTTTCAGATTTTTTTCCCGTTTTTCCCCGTTTTTTTCCCATTTTTCCCATTTTCCCCCCGTTTTTTCCCCGTTTTTCCCGTTTTTTCCCGTTTTTTCCCGTTTTTCCGTACCCGGGGGCGGCTCCAGGGGCACCACGAACACCTCGGGGGGAGGGGAGGGCGAGGATGAGGAGGAATCCTCGGGATGAGGAGAAAAATCCCCGGAATCTTCGTCCCCCTCGGGGTTCTCGAACTCCTGCCAGGGAAATCCGGGAATTCCGGGAATTTTGGGGGATTTTTTTGGGATTATTTTTGGGATTTTTTTGGATTTTTTTGGATTTTTTTGGATTTTTTTGGGAGTTTTTTGGGATTTTTTTGGATTTTTTTGGGATATTTTTGGGATTTTTTTTTTATTTTTTGGGATTTTTTTTGGATTTTCTGGGATTTTTTAGAGGATTTTTTGAGAATTTTTTGGGAATTTTTTTTGATTTTTTGAGAATTTTTTGAGATTTTTTTTTGGATTTTTTTTGAATTTTTGGGGGGATTTTTTGGGATTTTTTGGTAATTTTTTGGGAATTTTTGGGGATTTTTTGGGATTTTTGGGGGG